GGTTATAAGTCTTTCTTGTTTTGTCCCTTAAATTTAACTGATATAAATCGCGAGCAAACGAGTATCGTTCTAGTGAAAAGCTAGGACTCCCCGCAGAAAATTTGCAAGTGCTCCGTGTAAAAATATTCTGTCAATATTCGATATTTAACATCTACAACAGTGCTCTAGCTTCCTTGCCACAAAATTTGTTTAAACTTTGTTTTTTATCCAGTAGATATGGTCATGGAGAAATAGGGTTTACAATGTAGGCCTGGACCACCGCGCAAACATTGAGAACTAATACAATCTCAGTCAATTGTTGTTTTCCGCTGATGTCCTCCCAATGTTGGTGTAAAGATTTCGTGAGACAAGATTTGGACTGAGAGGAGACAGCCAAGAAGGAAGAAAAAGATATCGAGCATTGATGAAGGTAAACAGGACCAAACAAGAACAAATTAAGTCAATTAAGGAAAATTTTGGATGACTCAAATAATTATTTTCTTTGGAATACTTGTGGATAATACTGTCAAAAAAGACGACTGACATCAATTTTACCGTTAAGAACATTTTTTTGGAGAAAATACCTTAATTTATCGCCATCGTCGATCTAATTTTATTCAACAAAATAGCGTGAACTGAAATTCAGATCACCATTTTATTTACTTACCTTTTCAAGGGAACTGTAAAATGTTTTTAAATTTATGTCGATGCGGTCAATAAGATTTTCCGGTTTGGCCACTAATACATTGATCTAACTCCCGTCAGGAGCCGATTATTGTTCCTTAATATAGACCTTGTCACGGTTTTCGACGCCATCTTGACGAATGGGGAAACGCGTTAGAAATTACAGTGTTTGTATTAGAATCTTATGTCGAATAATCTCCGTAGAACGGCTGTTTTGAAAAAAACATGAATTTCAAACTAATGCTTTATTCCTAACGATTCTACTGAAAAAATTGAGGGCGTTACATGCGTTAGAAGACCTAGAACCACTTTTTAATATTTTCTATACATTTGTCTGTAAGAAAGTCCCGGGAAAAATTACAGACGCATACATGGAAAATCTAAAGCAAGCCTCTGGAGAAATTTAAGCAAAGGTACGCCCCCAAAATTTTTTAGTACAATCCTTTGTTTGGTAGCTTTAGTTTACTATTGATATTTTGTTTAGAACAGCCGTTTTACGGAAATTGTTCGACATTAGATTCTCATACAAGCACTGTAATTTCTCACGCGTTTGCCTGTCGCGGTTTTCGACGCCATCTTGACGAGTAAGGTCTCTTAAAAAAGCTTAGAGTTCCTATACATAGCTCACCGTCCATTCAAGGTTTTTCTGTAAATCGTCTTTGAATATTCGATGTTTCTTGGAATCCCATGGCGATTTCCAAAATTATTCTGTTTTTGTACTCACCAAATTTGAAAGCATAAAATTACACTAAATTTCCACCAACGACTTTCACAGCTCTAAATCAGTATACATTGAAGAAATATTCTAGATATTTCAGTAATTGTTAGGTTAAATTTAATAAGCAATTTTCAAACTCACTATTTTTGAGGTTACACAATTTCAAAACATAGCTTCAGTCCACACCATAAGTTTCAAAATCCCCAGCCTATCATTGGCGACCATATGCGCTAAAACTAACTCTGGTCTCCCTGTTATGCGTAAGCTCTTCAATGTGGGCCATAATTTCTCGAAGAATATACGAGAGTTTTCGTTATGGTAAAGCTGTCTAAGTTGATTAGCTGTAGAAAAACTCGTAAGCTTTGATATCAAAAGAGAATGTAATCTATTATAATACAAAGCTAACTGAGAGTTAATTCAATCAGAAGAACATAAGAACAATGAATAAGCAACTGAATGAAGTCGTTTCCCAATTCCAAAACTAAAGGCTTCCATTCATGATTTCGAAAGGCGAGCAAGAAATTAACAGATGACTACCATACATCCAATATACAAATCTTCCCAAGAATGATTCTATTCAACAGTATCACAGGAGAACATGTTCTCTTGCAGTTTTGTTGTTTCATTGCGAGTTCACCTCGAATTTTCCGAACATCGGAGAAAAGTCCCACGAAATTGAGTCTTTTCACAATTTATTCAGTATTAAAAAACAGTGAATAGACCCAAAAAAAATCCCAAATCCAAATATGACCTATATATATAATAGGATCCTTTCGAATTCCCTACTTTGGAATATGTAATAGTATTCGGCATGCATATGTACTCTAGCCGTAGTGGATGATCCTTGCCACGCCAATTTTTGTTCAATGTTTGTTTGCTAGATACATGTATGGCCATGGACAGTAGAAGTTTACGAGTTAAGGCTAAATGAAACACTTTGCTAACATCGAGGACTATCTAGTCAGAGCAAGAAGAGAATCAGCGCGGCCGTATCGAGTCAGGGCGTTTATTCAAACGTGAGTCATAATTTAAAATGGTTTTGATCAACAAAACCAACAGTATTGTTAATCAGACAAACGGTTTTAACGGTGGTCATGAATGATAAATTCGAAAGAGTGAATTTAAAGAAAACTGCTATCTACAACAACTGATTAACATGACCAATAAAATAATAATAATAAATTGTGTTCAACAAAGCGACACATTAGCTCCGTAACTAAATACAAGTAACGTTTAGAGTAATACAGCGATTTGAAACTAAATTTTGTTCAGTTTTGCAACTCGACAAGCTTGTTAATTTAGCTACAAAACCAAAATCTTACTTACAAAGGAAACTTGATAAAGATGTTCAACAAAGATAATGGTTCTTTACACAGCATCACACTCTTCGTACAGATATTAAAAAAGCCGATGGAACTTATTTCTTAACTGACCATATATACAGTTGTTTAAATCATGATTTAAGCCAAAACTGACAGAAAGTGAGTTAAGAATTTTGAAAATACAGAAACGTTTTGTTTTCTGGGAGGACTTATTTAGTACGTCTGAAGAAACAAAAAGTCATTAGTAAGTTCTTGAACATGAAGCACGAAGCATGAACTGATACACGCCACATCGAGCGCCTGTGTAAGATCCTTAAAATTAACTTTCTACACTGACATTATTTACTGGTTGGAATTAGATTGGACCAGAATGGATGATGGCCACTAAGACGGGAAGAGATCGAGTTTAAAATTATGAGGATAATAATCTACCACTCTTTCAAGTAGAGGTCTGTGAGTTTAGGGAAATAATTTCACTATGTGATATCATCCCGCAATATCTCAGACTGCAACGTTTCTTTCAATTGTACAGTTATATCTTGGGTTATATATGAATAATCGCACCTGGATTAAAAAAAACAAGATCAACATCAATTTATTTCTAGTAAAAGTTGTGATCTGTTGGTTACAATGATGCTGTAAGGAAAAAATGTGTACAGTAGGCCTTTAATTGGGCGCATGATTAGCAACCTGATATTTTCGCAAGCGAATGAAATTGTTGAATTGAAATTAGGATACATACGTAGGCTGTTTAGCTTGAGCATGTTTTGACAAGAAACTTATTCAAACAAGGAAATTCCATGATTCAATCCCTAGCAGAGTGTTGGTATGTACAGTGCTCGAAGCTTTCTTGTTTTTCTCTAGCTTTATTTAAATTATACTTTTTGATTCAATGTTTCTTTATTTCTTCTTTCTTCCAGTTGTCATAACTTTCATGAAGACAGATTACCATGGCAAACAAGGTAAATCATATATGCGCCAAGCGTTCTCGTATCTCCTTCGGCCCGTAGTAATCAATCTTGTTTCTAAAACATATTCCAAGTACACGGATCTGTGACAGTAGGAATGACTCTTCAATATATAATCAGGGACACCCAACGAGAGTATAGTTCAAAACCACATAAACATAGCATTGTTGAACGTACTTTAGTATTTAAACGGTAATTAAAATAATGGCTTATTTTTATCCCCTAAAAATTTTTCATCTGTTCGCATTTCCTAGCTGAAAGTATAGTGATCCGAAAATTATAGGGATCCAAATTTACCTTTTCGAAAATTTCAGCCAGATAAAAGGCTCCCGAAAATTCTAGGTGACCTTTTTAGGGTAAAAATCCGTTAAAAATGGGCAATTATACGATTTTTTTGAAGTTCGAAAATCCTAGGAGAGGCAGGCAAGCAAGAAATTTGTCAGAAAATGATCCGAAAATTCTAGACCTCAAATCGTCTTCCGAACAGATAATTTTCCGAAAACTGTCGTTGGGTGCCCCTGATATAATGCACAGACAGATATAAGCGGGTAAAATTGTTAATAAGCTGTATTTAACAATCATTTACCATGGTAAAAAAAGAAAGGATTTTCAGAGTCCACTGGTCTGACTGGTAGTATAACACATGATTCATGTTACGCGTCTTTATCAAACAATTCTGAATACAGTCGAGAATGATTGCGACATTACTTATTTGGATATACTGTTGTGTTGACCTCCTCAAAGAGAAATTTTCAAATTTGGATGTGGATAAATTCTGTACTTTATTCTGGACACAGAATTAACGACGAAAGAACTTACAATAATTGTAATTCTTTTTCTCTTGTTTTTCAGTAAGTTCTAACTGTACTTCGCTTGGGTTTACAGTAATAGGGTGTAAAAAAAAATCCTAGTTTAAACAACGACAGATTATTCTAAGACTCAGTCTTGAAATTTGTCCTAGGCTTAACTTTTTTCCCATTGTCCAAAAAGGTGATGAGCTGACGGCCATGCATCCTAGTAAAGCTACAACACTGGTACAAACGATTGCCCGGCTGTTAAAGGACAAACTTGAGCTATATCAAGGGATAGATCTTACACATAATAATCTTTTAATAAATATAATAAATGATGTTGTGGCTGGTAGATTCTCGACCATGGAACCAAAGCATGATCTGCATGTACAGGAACTCAGTTCCTGAAAAACAAAAAACACGAATTTCCTCAAGTTAAGCCAAAAATGAAGAACCAATCAAAATGCTTTACGTCTTTTGAAATGAGATGTAATGATTGGAGCATGATGTCGTTAAAACTTGATTCAAAAACTTGAAAAGTTAGGTAATTATTGCAAGAGCGGAAATAAATTAACCGGTAACAATAATCATTGCTATCAGTTGGCTTTGGCAATCGTGAAACGAAGGTAAGTTGACTTCAAAAGACGCTGTAACGGTCATCGAGATTCCATTGCATTATATTCAAACCGTTCATTTTTCCAAGGCATATCTTACATATAAGGTAAATTATTATTCATTCAAAATATTTCTGACTTCTGAACAAGATTACCTCCTGGTAGACTTTTTTCCAAACCTATTGGCCTATTTCTCAGTACGGTACAGATGTTTTTCCTTGCAGATACTCCTTAGAAAGTAGATTAAAATCATCGAGCGATAAGTTTAGCGTATTCTTCTATTACTTCCGTTCAGATTTAGTTAGAAATCAGCTATTTTGTTTTTGGATAGCCGTGAAAGGCATTTCTTTCTTTTAGTTCACTCGTGAATAAACAGCTTGGCGGCTTGACGATGGTCTAGCCCAAGCAGCCTTTTTTCCAATAACCCAAATATGGTAAGCGCCAGTTCAAGAAGAATTATTATTATTTTTTTTGGGGGGGGGGGGGGGGGGGGGGAGCGATTAGAGTCTTTAGCCTCGGTACATAACATCATATTCGATCTGCATAATTCTTCACATCCTACTCAGCCTCATTCAATAATTGCTAAGTGTTAATCATATTCATTGAGTTTTGCGTTGACCTACTCACGATATTTCATATCATGATCAAACTTTAATTCTAGTGCACAAGTTAGAGGACCTTGATGATGCGATCACGAGTTAAAGTGACCACCATGTTGCTTGTACTGATATTTTCCCTCACTGGTCTCTGCTCTGCTAAGGACAACAAACCACCAGACACCAAGGTAACTGCATTTATACATATATCAGATATTGCCATTACACATTTTTTTTATTACAGTTAAATAATGTTAGTTTATAGAGACAACTAGGAATGACCCATTATATGTTAATTTAACTAAATCAGTCTGCAGGTTGATTAAGAAGACAACCAAATTCAGACGAAAAATAAGATGGTATGATTACTTGTACAACTTGAGGGAGAACATTTTCACGTTTTAAACAATCAAAATTAACATTTTTACAAATTATAAAACAGCTTCTTTACTGGAAAATAAACTTCTTCTTACAAATCACAATTGACGATTTCGTTAAAAAAAAAAAGAACAATTAAAACTTGGAAAATTAAGGAACTACCTCCTCGCCTGAAGTGAAAGGCTAGATGACAGGTAAAATTGTGAAGAGCTATAGCAGTTTGTCGCTGACTTTTTTCTCTTTTTGGCAGCCTGTTCAATCTTGTCCTTCCTGTAATAATGGCGGACAAGCCGGGATGTGGACATACATGACATGCATCCCAGGAGCCCCTGGGGCACCTGGTCGAGATGGAGCCAAAGGAGACCTGGGCAGCCCGGGGAAGACTGGGACCCAGGGACCACGTGGTGCTGATGGAAAGAAAGGAGCAAAAGGAGAGTCTGGGATCCAGGGTTCCGCCGGACAAAAAGGAGAGCGAGGGGACAAAGGCGACAGTGGAACGCCACGACTGGCTTCACACATGAACTGGAAAGAGTGTGCTTGGAAAAAGGCAGACGGCACTGATTCAGGACTGATATATGTAAGTACGGAACGTCACTTTGTTACCCGAGTTAAATAATATTCTATTAACTCAAAGTAATTAATTTTTACTGAAATGATTGATTGCTATAATTCTGAAGTCAGCGCGCGGTCAGCGATGATGATGGCTGCTTCTTTTGAAGCTACGGAGTTTTCTGTTAAAGCCGGGCCATAATCGGTTTTATTACACTGTGTCCTTCTCCATTCTTAATTTTCTTGCTTATCTTATGTACATGATTTTTTTTTGTCGAAACACCTTGTGTTAATTAATATTGTACAACTGATGTATTATTTTTTTATAGACTGGAGTAAATAAAAATAAACCACAATACGGATGCTGTTTCTTTATATCTCGTTTAGAACTGTGACTTTGTGAAGAAATACGCGGACACTGCCCTCCATGTCTACTATGCTGGTAACCTCAGGATTCACGGATGTGACGACTGCTGTAGTCGCTGGTATTTCACCTTTAATGGAGCCGAGTGCAGCTCTCCTGGAACTATTGACGGTGCATTCTACATGGCAACAGGCAGCAGAAAGCACAATCTTCACCGTCACCGCCACATTGAAGGGCACTGCAACAACATTCAGAAAGGAAAGGTGCGAGTGGGATTCTCGGTTGGAAAATGCGTCACAGGACATAAGCTTGCTGACGCATACACTGGTTGGCATTCAATGAATCGCATCTTCATCGAAGAAGTACCGAAAGCTCAGCAGTAGGCCCCGGGCAGTAAGCACGTGTCATATGATGAGCTGGACTTTTTAAAATAAAAGCGTGTTAGACTTGTATTATGTCATTACTGGGTAATGAGGTGTGTAAAACAACGTTTGCTATCAAGTCTGTATCTGCTAAAAATAAAGTCCAGGAGCATCTACTGTTATTTTCAATTGGTTTAATGTCATGATTGCCTTGCTTATTTTCCCTATTGAGCCTTAACAACACGGTACGGTACCTTTCGTGGGATTATAAACTGCCTTTCTGTTTAACTCCCCGAATTCGTCCACCTGAATATTCCATTACGTTTCGCGACTCTTGAGTCTGAACTAAAGACTTTGAGGGGTCACCACCACAATTATATCGGGTCAATAGTTGGAACTCTAAAAAATATATAATATATCTGGCGATTGTTTCAGAGGGAAAACGACAAAGCATTATTACTATTTTTGTCAGTTTAATTTTTCGACAGTACAATAATTTAGGTAAAGATATCCAATTTAATATTTTTTGGTCGGTTCTGAACCGTTATTTTAGGCTTCTTTTTATAAAGCAAGGTCTTCCTAGAGTCCTAAAGAATTATAACATAGCTGATCCTTGAAATTTCTTAAATTCAGAAACCTTAAAAAGGGCAGCCCACAAAATGCAATGATGGATCCTTTCAAACAATACTCAAATGTGACCACAGCATATTTCAGGTCTGGAAAAATAAATGCTGTCATCCGGTCTTATCCTGGATTTATCAAACAATACATGATCGTCGCAGTTGTGATAGAAACTGTATTAAAGCAATTTCAAATGAAGTATCGGCACAACTGCGACGACCATATGTTCATAAAAATTTGTGTACTTCCTCCATTCAAATCATCATCTTCGTTAGTATCCCAATAAAGTCTAAACGCTTTCCTAACTACAATGGAGGACAAAAGAACTTGGGACTGTGTGAAAAAGCCCTTGCAAGCAATAATTCCGTAGAATTCTGCTCCTAAGGACATTTTTTGTTCGGCTTTGGGTTCATCGCGTTGTCCCCTCCTTCACCTTCCCCTAGCAATGTTGTGGTCAAAAAAAGCACTCAGTTTCACCCATTTTGCTCCAAATTCAACTTTGTTTGGGGTGGGAGGGGAGGGGTCGCTAGTTTTAGTAATATCACTGGAAAGGTCCCAACACTTTTGACCTCCATTGTGGTCACCCAAGAAGTATGCTCAGTAGCGTTGTGATCTATAGACTAAATGCATTCTTCGCTACGTTCTGAGCTCGCACCTCAACCTTTAATGGCGAAGCACTATTCAGTGCGGAATATGTTAGCCCTCCCACGCAGGCGTTTTTACGGGAGCTCGTTTTTCATCCCTCCCCACATGAAAAACGAGCTCCCCTAAAAACGCCTGCGGGAGAAACTAAAATATGTTGGCTTAAGGTGTTTCGATACAGGTTTTCACAGGCCATACCGATATTTTTCAATCGCCTTAAATCGGTTGTTTTTTCCTAGTCCGATCGCTATAAAATTTTCACCAGTAATTCAGGGGCACCCAACGGCAATTTTCGGGAAAATATCTGTTCGGAAGACGATTTGAGATCTAGAATTTTCGGAGCATTTGTTGTAAAATTTCTTGCTTGCCTACCTCTCCTAGGATTTTCGAACATCTACAAAATGGTATAATTACCCATTTTTAACGGATCTTGACCCTAAGAAAGGCCACATAGAATTTTCGGGAGCCTTTTCCTCGCTGAAATTTTCGAGAAGGTAAGTTTTGATCCCTATAATTTTCGGATCACTAGACTTTCAGCTAGGAAATCCGAACAGATGAAAAGTTTTTAGGGGATAAAAATATGCCTATATCTACCTTTTGAATACTAAAATACATTCAACAATGCTATGTTAAGTGGTTTTGAACTATATGCTCGTTGGGTGCCCCTGGTAATTGGCTATAGATTGAAATTTGTGAAAATGTAGTTTTAAGTAAAATCAATATTACTGTGACAAAAAACTTTGAAATTGATAAACGCCGAATTTTGCGTGAACTAGACCAGCTACTGAAAATCCAGCACTAGGAACTTAAAGTTCGGTGTTTAGCAATTAAATAACTTCCGTAAGAAGTAAAAAATTCTGTATATTTGAATTCGACTAAAACGAAAGCATATTTCGAACCTTAAATTTTCAATAGCCGTGATAGAGTAGATTATTTAATAAAAACGTTATAAATGACTCAAAGTATTCTTAAAAAGCGTCAGAATGCCGCTTAATATCATACTTCGATGCTAGGAAATTTTGGTGTGTTTTCTTTCTTGCGATCTTAAAAACTAAACCGTTTTCTCACCACCTGTCTAAGTGCAACTTCATTCAAAATTTGGACTGTTAGCGCTTTTTTGTATATCTCTGAAACGACTCGAACGAATTTTTTTAAAATCACTTCACATAATCTTCGTAATGTGTATAGTAATGTCTGAAACTTTCATTAAGATTGATTCACTCCAACACCTTGAAATTTCAAGACAAACCTATCCTACGAACTTGTCAAAAATCTGCGTTACAATATTCACTGTTTTGACGTTTTGATAATTTTTCGAAAATAATGCGCACTATACATACCTCCTGTGACGACTAGTACATTTTAGTTTGAATTTATCGCATCTTTTGAATGTAAAACATTGACAATACTCACGCTGAAATGTGCTAGTCATGGATATATGTATTGTCCGCATTAACTCGGAAAAATTACCAGAAACGTCAAACAGTGAATGTTGTAACGAGGATTTTTGACCGGTTCGGAGGATAGGTCAATTGGTCCACTTTGATAAAGAAATTAATGCAAACCTAATATCGTCAGTCTCTGGGAGTACTCTAAACGTTTCCATTGTTCATTTGAATGGCATTTGATGCCTTATATGACGTTATCTATCGAAACCTGTTAGGCGGACACCCTGTACTAAGCGGACACTACAGCATTCCCCGAGGGTGTCCGCTTAATACAGGTTTCACTGTATCTATAGACTGTTCACAGTCCTCTATTTTTCCGTAAGATCGTCGAGATCGAGCGCTTTGCGCGGTGACAGGCTGCCACCTTGCATGAGTGTCAAAACTACTTAGGGGGCGGGGGACGGTTTGAGAGGAAGAGAGAAATATAGATGGACTGTTAAAATCCGCCCTAGTTATTAAAAACATCACGCCAACTCGCGTTGAGGAGGCGTGACGGGAATTTCACACCTCTTATCATTCATTCATTAAGAAACTCCGCTGGTGATGAAAAACATGCCAGACACATTTAGCATCTATTTCGCGTGTTTACAAATATCTCCTTTCGAAACAGTGATTTTACACATACAGTGTCTGAGCCATTCCTCCAAATAAAATCGGCAAACATGCACAGGTGAAACAATCGAAGCGCTAAGCATGCTCGCTACACCACAGATTACCCGAGAAAAAGCCAGGCATTTCTGACCGGTCATTTTTTCTGTGTCGGCGTAGCGTTGAATTTCAGTTCGCTTGGCAGAAACTGTGTTACAACATTCCCCTGGCTGGACTGCTTCAGAAGCTTGCTAGCTTACGTGATTCATCCTCAGAATACCAAAAATCCTTCGTGTGTTGGCGCAAGATGTTCCTTATGGTAGTATTATGTAAGGGTACGTTTTATAGAAAAGACGGGACTTGTCAACGACTTGTCAGTGCCGGCAATTTAAATTAAACTGGTTGTTAGCCTGCGTGGCAGGCGTTTGAAAGGGAAGGGAAAGGGGGTTTTGGGCGCGAGGGAAACGCGAGGGGCGCCCCTCGCGTTTCTCTCGCACCTAAAACTCTCTTTCCCTTCCCTTTCAAACGCCTGCCACGCAAGCTAACTGGTTGTCAACGCAAATTAAGATCTCTTGTCTAATGACCAATCAAACGCCTGCGTTGCTGGTACAACGCGCTCCGTGAACGCGAGCTGCAGTGATGTTATTACAGTCCCTCTATTTTTCTCGCCCCCCTCCCCCTACAGCTATAATCCCCGACGCCCGCCCCCTAGGTACAATTGAAAATCAAGATGGCCTCCATTAACGGTAAGACGCGCTATATTTCGACGATCTCACGAAAAAATAGGGGACTGTGAACAGTCTACACCAATACTTATCCGCTGACGAGTCATTATAATGGAATTTCTGCGCCTAGTAGCAGCTCAACCAATCAGAACGCAGCATTGATAATAGACCACTAGCTGGATTTTACTAAAGTGGTATAGTAGGGACCACCACCACCACCACTATCACATTTCTATTGTTTTCTTTTGCCACAGGCTAGTTAGCGGTTATTCCTTGACAATCTGAATCAACCAATGAATACCTTTTTAAGGTTTTAGTCAACCAGTCAAAAAGCAAGACATTTATCGATCTAAAACCTGTCACACCAGTTAAACCCCCTTCAAAGAGCACGTGATATTATCTTAATGAGAATCTACCACATTTTTTATGAGATAAAGAAAAAAGGTTATGATATCATCCACGTTAATGTATTCTTGCGCAAGGTATAGAGATTCTCTGCACAGTAAAAGGATAATTCGGTCTCTACTATACTACTGACAATTCCTTTTTATGAAACTGATCGGAAAAGACAACCGGATGGCGGATCTCTAATATTGATTAAAGGAATTAGCAATATATATTGTAGTAGGCTGGTGTGTTCAATAAGTCTAGTCAATTTTCTGTAATAAAGCAAGTGTACAAGTTTAAAGCAGTTGTTTGATGTTTTTGTTCTGTGTTTTTTTTTTGCTGCGATGTCCTCATGATTTGATCATGCAGATGCTTTTCGGCTTCACTGATGAGGAATATTTGACCTTCAACACTGTTACAGGAAATACTTTGACTTTTGGAAGGGTTTCCCCAGTCTTTAAGAGAGGTCATGACGATCAAATACCTTGTTCGCGGAGGGTGGGATGACGTTAGAAGTAATATGGACAAGAGAGAATGGAGGTGACTGGAAGTTTAAAACTTTTCAAATGGATATAATTAATACACAAGGACAAGATAGTCATGTAGTTAC